GGAATTGAACATAGGACTCATTACTAAGGTTGAAATTAAGCAAGCATCTTAACCACAAGTTAAGGTTCACACTTTTTTCAGAAGGCCTATCATATTTGGCTAATATTCTATCATGACTGAAATACAGCTGTTTCTTAGACATTACGATTGAAAACCAGACTGCTTTGAAAACCTGAACGATATTCATTGATACTTTTAGCTCACAGAATATGTAGTCTATTACGCTATATTATTAATAATAATCACAGTAATAATATAATATTCACAGATTTGTATCAGACTACACACATATTTCACTAAAATTTGCCCTTCATAAACAAACCACTCTGGCGGGCCAAGCCTAAGCCCACCTCCCTACTCAACAAGCATTTCTCTCATTCTTTTATATCGTATATCATTATTATCATACCGGTAATTCACAACCAACGAATTAAAAACATAAAATTTGCAATGTGTCAGTTTGACGGAACGAGTCCAGACACGTTACTAAATTTTGAAACGAAATGTTCATATTCCGAATATTTTGTTGACGCATAGAGAAGCTGCGAATGCAGTAATTCTTGTTTTACTAGTTTTATTAATGTTTTATCAATATGGTTAATTCCACTGCTCTACCATTCTCCAAAATAAACATTTTATTATCTAGAAAAAAAACTTTTAAAGTTTGTCTTTGATTAGCCTATTTTAATATTTTATATTAAGTTTATAGCTTATCAAACTGTTAAATCTTATTATTATTAACTGAGGAAAAACGCGAATACAAAACATTATTGGTTTAAAACGTAAAGAGTAGGCGTATATTGATGCTCTACCATTCTCAAAAATAAAATTTTTCTTAGGCCTACCTAAAAAAAAAAAAACTTTTAAAATTTGTCTTGGATTATTTTAATATTTTATATTAAGTTTATATCTTCTCAAACTGTTAAATCTTATTATTATTATTAACTGAGGAAAATTGCGAATACAAAACATTAATGGTTTAAAACGTAGAGAGTAGGCGTACCGGTATATTGACGCGAACTCGAAACGAATTACAGAAAAGTGCCAATAAAAGACACAAGCCTAATGTTTTACAGCGTCATCCTGCTTGCTCTGGTAAAGATGTACCGTAATGAACTCGTATTAATCCTTCTATGCATGTTAGAAATATAAACACTCAGAGCTCTCTCCACCGTGATTGACTGTAAAGCAGTGCGTACCGTAACCATTATTACGTACATCTAGACGTGCCGCCCGCTCATCGATAAAAATGTGAAGGTGCGATTATGACGTCATCACTTCAGAAGTATTAGCCACATTAACTAGGTACAAAATAGAGGCTTACAGACTTGAATGATTTATTCAGAAGGGTTGGTGTCGAGACATTTTTATAACTCCCATAGTATTTTAAGAATTGCGGAATGCATTAGAGATGCATCACTCTGGAAATCCATGTTATAATATTCTTTCAAAATACGTAATAGTTAGTCTTGTGCAAACGTCACTCGGGTCCACACAAACTACATGTTTGTATGCTTATTGGACCATTTTAAGCAGCCTATGTCGTGTCCGAACAATATTTGTGCGAAAACAATATTTTCTCCTTTAAGTTAAAGAAATCTAATTTGCTGTATTATAGTTTTAATCAATTGACCTATAGTAAGAACAATTGTTATTAGCCTTAGTTAATGCAAGGACTTGGCTTATTGTTAATAAGGTAGGACTATAACAATAATTATGATACAATCATAGAAGTGAGGAATACAGAGTATTCATGATATACTGTATGATATAAGAAATAAGCCTGCAATTCTGACAGATTTTCCGAGTATATATTGTTTAAAGAAGCCATCTGTCTTTAATTGATGTTATAGTTTGTTGGTAACCAGTCCTCGTCAGCGATTGTTTAAAATGCCATTACTGGATGTTCTGTAATCTGGGAGCATAATGCAAGGTGAAGACACAATGTTAAAACAAACAATTTAGAATTGAATTCACATAATATTTTGATACTATAGGCCTAGTGAAAATAAAATGTTCAACATATCAAAATTGCATTACACTAAATAAAAACATTATTGTCTGTTTCATAAAACATCTAAAATAGATTATTCTCTTTAATAAAAAAAAAATAAAGTTTCGCCTATCTTCATCAGCACGGTGGCGTCATTCATAGCCAGAATTTGACCTGCCTACAATTGGATTAATTGAATGGAACATGACTACTGTACATCACGGTATATAAAAATGTAACTAATAACAACGTAAATAAAGAAATGTTTGTTTCCGTTAATTGGTGTAAACACCCAATGAAACTGATATCAAGCCCACCAATAAAATGACAAGATACAGGTAAAATACTATTATAATAGTAATTATTAACACTAATAGCTAAAAATACAAACATTTAATTATAATCTTTGTTAATCCACAAATTAGTGTAGCATACAGCTGTAAATAGTAAAAGTTTGTTTTGTATTGTACTCTAGAGGGCGATATCATATGTTTAATTCATATCAGAGCTCCATGAATTTTTAATAACATTACACTATCTCAATGCGCTTTACTTAGAAATTAAGAATACAGTAGGCAACAGTGCTGAGTGTATTCTTTTAACAAAAATTCGTTTATACTACAAACTGTAAATACCTGCTAATATTAGTGTGTTATATTTTTGATGGACCAGCGGCATAGATCTAGAGCTATTAAACAATTTTAATATTTATACACTAAACTCCATCTAGGCCTAGGCCTATTTATAAATAGCAAACCGTTAGTAGACAGTTTGCTTTGTATTGTACTCTAGAGGGCGACTTTATATTTTTACTTCATCAGAGCTCTACGTGATTAAAAAAAAAATTACATTTACACCACACTACAGGCTGTGTCTCAATGCACTTTGCTTTGAAATTAAGAATAGGTAATAAAGTTAAGTGTATTCTTTTATAGAAATTTGTTTATATTACAATCTGTAAATACCTGCCAATATTAAGTGGGTTATTATTTTGATGGCCGGCGGCATAGACCTAGAGCTATTAAACAATTTTAATATTTATAAACTCGATCTAGGCATCTATTGTTTTTGTTCAAAACGACTGAGGGCGCTCGTTTCATAAACGAGAAGTAAAAACAAACGAGAAAGATATAATAGGCCTGGGATTCCTTGCTTGGCTGTGCATGCGTGTTTGTTATGTTTGCATGGATGTAAATGTGCCAGTAAATATCATTAGCCGGTGTACAAGATTGGGTATAAGCCATTTAGCTTATTTCTTTCATCTTATATTTATATGCGAGCCTAGGTAGGGCCTGGCTAGGCTAGTGACAGACAGGATATCTAGGCTAGGCCAAGGC